GAGAGAGAGAGAGAGAGAGAGAGAGAGAGAATATTATTATAACCACAGAGAGAGAAAGAGAGGCAAGACCGAGAGAGTTGACAACATGTAGGCACACACAGAGAGAGAGAGAGAGAGAGAGAGAGAGAGAGAGAGAGAGAGAGACATACCCTTAATGAGGGGGAACACCACCAAGGTTGTGAGCTTGTTGTTGCTGCAATACAAAGGCATTGTACATGTCGGCACCGATGTGCTGCCGTTGCGGGAAAAAATTGTTCCAAGTGAAGGCGAGACCGTGACACCAATCGACCGGCGCATGGAGCAGCCCACCGCCACATATATTTACCAAAACCCGCATGGAGGCGCCACATCGCCGTTCAATTCGACAGGTCAACACAGAAGAAGCATCACATACACAATTGAAGATTCACCACAAGGACAGTTAGGCAATCATCCAGCACACGCACACACACACACACACACACACACACACACACACACACACACACAGAGAGAGGGTCACATCGTAATTCTTTGCCAAATTAAAAAGAGAAAACAAAGAGAAAACACGAAGTCTAGAGTGTTTAGTCTGAGTTGTGTTATGAGGAAAAGACTGGTGCACACAGAGACATGTAATCGCCCACACTTGCCAGACACAAAGGAAGAGAACATCTCATGCATCAGAAAAAAAAAAAAAAAAAAAAAAGAACAGGAGAATCAAGCATTGTGGAAGCGCTAGGAAGTCACCACACTATAATTTGCAGTCCTACTTTTGAAGTTATGATCAAATTAGTTGTTATTCATTTTTTTATTTCATTGACTTTCTTTTTTTTTTTCTGTTTTATTATTTAATTTTCATCATAGTATTTATCAATTTATTAATACAGAATTCATTTGTTCATCCCACGGCACGCCCGAATCGCTTGTCCTGCTGAGTTGAGATGAGTATTTCCTCATAACACAACTCAGCTTGCATCTGTGTAGCACACCGAACATGTTCGGGTGTTCGGCCGAATGCCCCTCCCGAACGTATTCAGTCAAACTTTTTTTTATGATTAAAAAAAAATAATAAAATCATTTTAAATTTTAAAATGTTTTTTTAGGTTTGTAACTTTGTACCCTTTTTTTTTTTTTTTTTAATTTAAAGACAGGCGCAAAACGTGGGCGGACGAGTTTGGTTACGAATTTGAA